TATATATATATATTATTAAGTTATACATAATATTATTAAGTTCTGTTTCTTGTAAAGTGCTCAAAGACTTGTTGAAAAACCTTAACAATTAATATGTATTATTCTTAATGCAGAACATATTTAAATCAATCCATAAGTGATCATACGATCTACATCATACAGAATAACATTAACTTAACAAAACACTCAGTAAACATAAGACATTTAAAGCAAACCCAAATAAGTAAAAGCTTAATTTACTAATAATATGATAATGTTGAACCAGATTAATATAACTATTGATTAATAATGTTTAACTATATATAATATAATATATAGTTTAACTATATGTTTAACTATATTTAATGTAACTATTTATTAATATTGTTTAACTAGAATAAGAGCCCTACAAGTAAGCCATGAAACGAATAATTTGCATTTTTTATAACCAAAGCATCTATCTCTCAAATTTCATTCTGAAAAGTTTTACCATACTATGAAAATTTATGTTTTTAGAAGTAGTTTTATATTTTTCATGTAAACTTCAAAGTAAAAGAAGTGAATTTTCTAAAACAGGAATAAAAATTATTTTGCATATTTTCATAGTAAAAATAAATATTTTTCGTGAAAATAAATAGCATTTTCCTATATACTAGTAATTGCATAACTATCAAACCCTTTTTTTTTCTTCAAACAAAAATTACTGAAAAATTATAAACAGTTTTAATATAAATGAGAATTTCGTAATGCATTTATTAAAATATTTCGTTTTCATCTACATATGTTCTAAAGTATATCCCTTTGAAATGTTTTCTAAATAAAAACATTTGTAATGAAAATATTTTATAAATGAAAATATTTGTGAAGGAAACATTTCATTTGAATAATGAAGTCACTAATTGATATGATATAATATTTGATAAAAATTAAACTACGTCTTGTAAAAATCAAATATTTATCCTTATTTTCCACTGCGTTTAATTCTGATAAATTTTTTATGATTATTTGTAGCTGTGTTACCAACAACATTAAAACTATTTTAATAAGGGATTCCGAAATTTTTCCGGTTATAGAACAATAAATGATCGAACTTCTTTCGGCGGAACTTCGACTTTGTACATATTAAAATACATAAAAATAATTGCAAGCTTATTATTCAAAAATAAATATGAGGAAAGGAATTTTTTTCATAGTTTTGTTCATTTGCAGTTTTAAATTAGGTTTAATATTCGACAGTTGAATTCCCAATCCTGGAGCTATATCTAATTTAGTTTAAAATTTGTTTCAGGTGTCAATACATAAGCTTAAAAGGAAATAAATTAGCCGAATTTTGATTTTTGGTGAAATAAAAGATAAAAAAGAGTTTTTATAACCGTTGAAAATAGTATCCAGAGAAACATATTTCCTTATTAATGAATTTCGTTATTTTATTTAGATTTGAAAAGTCGAATTGGAAATACCAGTGCAGGTTTACCAGTTATTAAATATATTGTTAATAGATAAATGAAAATTGAAAAATGAAATTCTGTTTCACTTTTATTGGCATTTTAATTTAATTTTATACAGTGAAATGAAATTTCGAAAAAAAAATTATAGGTTATTAATAAATAATATACATCTCTTATTACTAATAATATAGATTTCAAAAATTATTACCGTGTAATAAAAAAGTACTTTTTTTCGGAACCCTATTTTTGCTCTAACGGAACACCAGTTGGGAACCACCCTGAGAGGAGATTCTGGACCCTGATCGTTTCGCTTACCACATAGAGTGATTTTTGTTTCTTGATGTCAAATTAGGTGTTATATCTGAATTAAAATGCATTTAGTTAAAATATACCAAGACATCCATGATCCATTGGGTTAGAAATTAAACCTGTTCATTTAGCTCTACAGCAATTGCAACTTTATTTGCATTGTTTCAAATTCATTTCTAAATTTTTAGTAGTTTAAAATTAAAAAAAAAAGGAAATTATTATGTTATCAATATTACTTTTCCGCATTACATATTTTCACAAATTTCTTGTAATGCTTCACAATTTTGAATTCATTACCTTAATTTCTTTACTGTTTAATGAATGCACATTAGTTAATAAGTTTAGGTAACAAATTAACGATGTGTATCCTAAAATGTTGCAATAAGTTAGCATTATAACTACGAAACACTTCTTTTAGTGTAAAGCCTTTAAGCTAAAATAAAAATAAAAATTAAAAATATAATAATAACAGAGAATACTATGTAAGAAATTATTATAAATAAGCACTACATTTGAGATTAAATTGGGGAAGAAGAAATGCATTACAAGCAAACAATATTTTCGTAACTCATACTAATTTTCTAATTTTATATTAATATTAATTGTGGATCTTCATGTGAGAAAACATGATCATACAATCTTACTTTCTGGCCAATAATATATATATATATATANTTAATATTAATTGTGGATATATATATATATATATATATTATAATAATAATAAATGCAGAGACAGAAAGTTTACTTTCTCAAAACATTTTGAACATTAGTTGTTTAATAGTTTAAAAGAATATTATTACTTCTGTTTAGTTGATATGATTCAAATCAATTAAAGAAATATTGCAATAATGTAACTCTGAGTTTACCTCAGATATAATTAGTAATTTTGTCATATTCGTATGTCATTATATGGGTTAAATAAATTGCAAATTAAATATTGTTAAGCGATTTCATATGGTTTGGAGTAATTATCAGTTGCTGTATGAATGACTTGAATCATTAAGATATAATACTTGGTTGAAAATCACTAAATCGAAAATTAATTAATGCTTCTATGTTTCGAATACTGAATATTCTAATTCGCAATTCTGTGGTATATGACTAATCTTTTCAAAAAGCTAAACACACTGTGCTTTTAAAAGCAATCAAATAATAAAGCAATAGTAAAAAACATAAAAAAACTTTCCATTTGCTTTAAATTCAGATAAATATTAAATAAAACTAAAAACATTCCTTTTAAATAATAATTATACTTACAACAAAATTCTGCGTTTGACGATTTAAAAAATATCGAAGCATGAAAACGTGTTTAAGCAGGTTTACACAACAGGTATAATAAACTGAGCCGATATAATCGACCACACTACCATAGAATTTCATAATTTAGAGTAATAAATAACTCTATTTCATAATCACATATTTAATTTCGTTTTATTCCATTCTTAACCATTGAAAAAAATTGTCACCAATAATTAATTAAGTAAAAACGAAAATAAGCATAAATCGTAAAACAAATAATTTAAATTTTTCATTCATTAGTTATATTTCATAGTTTTTAATCAGTAATATATCTTGCTTTTATAAAATATATGTTTACTAATAACGCTAAATCTTTCCAATGAAATTAATTCAATTAACAATATAATTCGCTTTTGGGAAGAAGCATATCTTTTCATAATAAAAATAACACAAAATATCAATTTTAACATCACGAGAAATTAGCAATTCAATATATAAATACAAATAATTATTGTAGGTAAAGTTTCTAAAATATTTCAAAAAACAAATCTCGAACTTACCAGATAAAACTTAAAACTTCATTCGAAGTGCTTCAAAAAACTCTCCCACAGTTTTCATTTCACACAACTTCTCCCAATTCAATAAATCTCCTCATTCAGTCTTTCGATCCAAAGATCTTTAATACAGTTTAATGGGAGATAGTACATCAGTCTCACACCGAGGAAAACAAATGGCAAAATAATCAAAAATAAAAACTTATGTTCTCTTCTAAATTCTAGTTCGTCCTTTATAAGCTGCATTGAAAAGCAACCGGCCTATTCGGCTGCATACCGATGGACTGGATCAGTAAAAGGCCTGCATGGACCGGGGAGTTGTGAAAGAGAGGGCGCACGCGCTATAACCCATCCTTTTCTGGAGTATCTTTTCTCTCCGCATCTTTCCAGAGATAGGTGATGGATTTCTTTGGGTATATTCTTGCTCGCGAATAAAAGGAACTTGTCTTTATTCTTTGAAAATATTCATGTCGCACTAACTTTTAGTCTTATTAAAAGTGTGTGGTTTAAAGCTCTGGTTCTTAAATGTTTAAGCAGATAGTTATTGTAGCTATAAACTGCAGATTGCTTTTAAAGCTTTAAGATTTTAAAATATCGTGTTTGAAAATAACGTTTATCAAAGAGACTACTGCGTTCTTAAGAATTGACATTACAATAAATGTAATTTAAAAATCATCTTTATATTGCCACATCAATTCGGGAGTATTTTTTCTCTCTTCATGTGATAGATAAATCATGAATTGTTTTTTGTGAAGAGATGTACTTTTTTATTAATTAAACAATACCATAGAATACCATAAAAATATACTTAGAATGCAATAACACATAATAGTTAGAATACCTTTACTCACTAACATTTAGTCTTATTAAATGCAATTTAAAGATTTAGCTCTTATATTATTTATCATTACGTTTTAAGTGTTGAAAGCTCGAATTGCACTTTAAAAGACTAATGATTCATTGTCAAATATTTTTCCTTAATTCCAATATCACATATATTATTGCGATTTAAATATAAACTATTCCATAAATTAAGTTTAAACATCGATTTTTATAACTACATGTACATAAAGTTTAGAGTACCCTTTTTTGGCATATTTTCAGAGATAGATTTTGAATTTCTTTGGAAATATTCTTGCTAGAAAGGGAAAAAAATCTTGTATTCCTTATTCGAAAATATTCGTGTCACATTAACAGTTTTTTGTAAGATTGTGTAGTTAGAAGTTTTACTCCTTGTTTAATTGTGTGTGCAGTATTTGTAGCTTTAAAGCACAAACTGGTTTTAATTCTAAAAGTTTATAATACTTGATCTTTTGATTAATTTCACCGAAATAAATTAGATTCTAAGTTTTGAAAATAAATAACACGATAAATTGAGTTTAAAAATCATCTCTTTAAGCCACCACAATTAAGTTTATCTTTTTTCCTCTGCATCTTTCTAGAGATTTGGTGCAGGATTTCTTAAGAAATATTCTTTCTCGAAAACAAAGAAAAAATACATATATTTTTCTTAAATTTCAATGTATATTGTATATGAAAATAAAATTAAATGAAAATGTATTTAAAACTTGTTTTACCATATTTAAATTGTTTATTGTTTTCAAAAATATTGATGCCTAAAATTATCTTTGAAAAAATGAGGTACATAAATACTTGAGAAAAACCCATCTGTTTCTGGAAATTTGTTCGAAAGATATATTTAAAATAAAAAGTTGTTTTTATGGATTCATCTGACTGATGCCTAGCTTTAGTATTATATTAACATATGGGGACTACTTAAGAATGCATTATGAATGCGAGAGGTAGTTAGCTATAAATATTTATTACATATATCTACAACTTTCGAATTTACATCTTAGTATCGAAAATTTTATTCCTTAAATTTAAAAAAAAATCAGAATTATTGTCACATCTAAACACTTTTAAATACTTCAGCGCATGGGTTAGTTAATTATTGATCTCAACATCCAAATTTGTAGATAATCCTCTGTATATGTTGGGAAGTGTTTATTTTTTGATAAACATATGAATAGGGGGAAACTTATGTCGTATGGATAAGCAACAAAATTCTACTTCTATCTGAATTTAGTGAGAGTACTAAAGACAGAGCTAAAGGTTAAAGTTTATTTAACCTGGGTTGTGAGTAAAGAGTGTGTTTTCCTCTTCTCTACTATTTCATACATCAATTTTAAATTACAGGTAGAATTAGCGGTATGAAATGATGAATATTGTTGAAATAAATAAAGTTTTATTTGGCAAAATTAAAAAAATTTTTTTCGTAATTTTGATATTTTAAGACACAAAAGGACATCTTAGGGCAGGGCATAAATATAATTTTATTAAATAGTTTCATAGATTATGTAATTAAATGTACATGCACAATGCTTTCGCTATTATTGCTTTCGAATTTTAAATTATTTTGTTAACGTATTGCTGTTTAATTATACTCAATACATACTCATTTATTTATTATTCTACAGTAGAAAAACAAACCGTTATTTTTTGATAATATTTTCAAGACTTTCAAAGTCCAACATCAATATTAGTACAATTCGTGCAGCAACTGCAGAATTAAAAATAACCTTTACAATTTGAATAACAGCAGTTTTATAAATATTTGGTAATTCAGACATTCATCAATAAAATACCAATTTCCTTTGCAAAAAAACGCATATTGATGGTAATCGTCAATTGCAAATTAAAATTGTGCGTATTGATTTAGAAAGACATTTTTTCAGAGAAAAATAAAATTATTTTGAAATTGGTATAATTTTAAAAGTTAATAATGCAAGTTAATACTCTTTCAACTGTAGCTAAAAAGATTCTTCATGGATGCAAATATTTGCATTTTTAAGATGTTTGGTTATTATTTTTAACATACCATAAGGAAATAATGGACACAGCACACTTTCTAATTTTTCTGCAGTAAGAAAAACTACTGTAAATATAAATTTTTCACGAACGGAGTTAAGATTATTTTGTGCTACTTCTGTAGATAGTTTTTATAGTTAAAACTGTTGAAAAAGCAAAAGCAAATGTAAATGAATAAAAAACTCTAAGTAAATGTTTGCTTTCATTTGAATGAGTTTAAAGATGATATTTTTAATATTACTATGTATTACGTTTGCAGTATCGCAAAATATGAAAGTAAATTAATCATTCTAATAAATTAATTCTAATAAATTCTAATAAATTAATTCTAATAGATTAATTCTAATAAATTCTAATTCAAATAAATTAATTCCAATAAATTCTAATTCTAATAAATTAATTCTAACATTCAGAAAAACTTTTTGCAAATATTTTTATAATTAATAGTTAAGTAATGGATCATTATATCATGTTTCTAGAAACGTTGCTTTTTATTGAGAAATAAATTTGAATTTATATAATAAATTTTCTTTAAGCTGCAGTGAGAAAAAAGTATAAAAAAATCTAACAGAATATGGTAAAACTTATTATGTTTCTGGCTCTATGGGAACACCAAATTGGGTGGTAATTTTTACTGAGGAGCTTTGGCAATGACTTTTTTTGTGAAATAAGCAATAAAATATGGTTTTATTAAATTACTGTTTGGTGGGAAATTTTTTTATTTTGGTAGTTTTACCATGATACCTTACAGTGAGCATTGCATAAAAATCATTTATTCGATCATATTTACTTTTCGTATTTTTACTAAATGCATAGTAATAAGAATCGCAATTTTAGGAACCAGATTATCTGGTAAACCATTACTAAAAGAATAGAAAAATTATCAATTGAATAGTTTAAATACGTCATATGCTAATTTTATTACCGAAATTACGATTTTTTTTCTTAGAAATGCCGTTTGTGTAATAATTTTAAGTTTTGTAAAATTTGTACAGGTTTTTTTAATTAATTATTTGACTTTCTCCTATTCAATTTCGATTTAAGTAGAATTCTCGTACTAATTATTGTACACCAATTGTACTTCTTCATAGTACAATTAATTGTACTTAAACATGCCTTCAAAATAAAATACAGTTACACCAAAAAATAAATATTAAGTGATTTAACATTTTGACTTGATAGAAAGCTAAATCATTGAGAACCCTGAGATTGTTCTTTGCAATGAGACGGTTCCATCTGGGGGTAATCAGAGACAATGACACCCGATGTGTGTTGCTTTTGTCCAGTTTATTCCGTTGCTTTGTTTTGGTTGCTGTTACTGCAGAAAATCCCGCTTCACACAGATAGGTTGTCAGAAAGTTTTAATGGAACACAGATATTTTTATTTTTGGGAATAAGCCTAGAAATTAAAATTCAGTTTCAAAATTAAATGGGCTGGCCGGTACCATTTGATCCACGGACCGGAGGTTGGGGAACACCGCCCTAGCTCCCTGAGAAGTTTGTCGCAATTTTTATGCAATTCCCTGTAATATATAACTAATTAAAACATATATATTATGACAAAAATTTGAATAAAAGTTCAATTTAAAAAAATCTGTTGCCTTAGGAGCAAAACAAATTTAAGATTTAAAATTATGATTATGCAAAATCAAGTATTCGTCTAAAAGCAAAAAAATAAAAAATATCCACTCTAATAAGCTGATAAATGAACTTATCATTTCCACAGAAGGAAACTTTTTTTTGTTTGAAGGGAGGAGGAAATTCCTTAATATTTAAGTATTTAAAGTTAATTAAAAAATAAGTTATAATTAAATAATATGCAATTTTCGGTTCGGATTAGTACTAAAATAGGAGGGTGAATATTTAATTGTAGCTGTACTGAACTCAGAAATCAATGCACGTTTCATTTTGTAAATGATAAATCAGATTTATTTCGTGTTTTCTTCCAGTCTTCTGAAGTTTCTATTTCATTACCGTAACGAAAATTCTACCAAGAGACATTGTTTTCGGTTGTCAAGCACGTAATGATGGTTGTCGGCATACTTTTGTTTTCTTTCTTACTTGACGCGGAAAACGTCAGTAAGTAATGGCATGATATTATTTCTCAGTAAGAATGCGTCAAGATTGTTGGAGAAAAACAAGTCACTAATCTCTAATTTCAGAGCAGAAACGAAAAGAAGAATTCTTCACAATATGTTATTGATGGATAAATATGTGCTTGCAGAAAAAAAAATTCGAATTATTTATAAGAAATGGAAGAAACAAAATCAATACGGTATGGATTATTTTTCAGCTATTCCTTTAAAATAGTGTTCCCCAACCTTTTTATCGCCGCGAACCTGTCAACGTTTGATAATTTTACCGCGGACCACTTGGGGGGAAGACGTCGATTGTTTATATTTTAGCTTATTTTGATTTATTAATTCTAATTTAATTGTACTTAAA